GATAATATCGAACCGCTCTAGGACTGGCAAATACATGTATCTCTCTGTCATAGGTACGATAAAACAATTCATACGTGTATTGATTAGCTTCAAGATTCCATAACCGATTATAAAACGTGAAAATATGTACCAGTCGCCAGTCTTGTGTAAGTGTTATGGAATAGTCGGCTCGAATTTAATACCCTGGTTTAGGTTGTTTATTTGGGTTATGGCCTTTATAAGTTGTTTTCCTAACTTGTTGATAAATTCTCGTGATCTCAAATGATTTCTGGCTGCAGCATTATATATATAATAAAGGCAAATAATATGTCAGCGGAACTCCCTGAACATATATAGAATCTAACTTCTTCCCATGAACAATATATACTACATATTGATTCATGTATTTTTAAGTGCGATTTCTTTCGAACATTATAGTATCTTCAAAAACCAGTGTATGGTGCTAAAAAGGCGCAGAGTATGTGTTTTTTCAACGGTTTTGTTTTTAAGGGGAGGGGGAGGGGTAGAATTTAAACAGGTACGGCTACTTGCAGTACCCGTGAAGGAATAATTAAATAAGAATGGAATATCTTTTTCGTTTTCAATTTTTTCCCCGGAGTTTGTCGCAATCTTATCATGTATACTAGTTCGTTATAGCCTATAAACATAATGCGGGGGAGGGAGGGGGAGGGGTGAACAACTAATTGATAATAGAGGAACAGCAATATATTTCAGTTTTATGTCATAATGTTCTCGTAAAACTCAAAAGACGATGTTGTGTATTTCTCTTTTAATATATGTCTCTGATTTTTCAAATAAATTATTTACCAATTAAACCGACATACCTGTATATTTTGGTATGTTATTAACATACACAGGTGAAAGTCACGGCTCACATTCACCTGTGAATTTTGATGTAATATACCAAATCTCAAAGAATATGATTGTCGGAGTGTATAAGTATAACAACATATTTGTGTACTGACAGTTCGCAGTTCAATGACTATATAGCTGACACACACTATAGTTATAGGGTGTGTTTACAAACTTTAACAAAAACAAGGATTATCATTTAAAAGGTGTACTTCTCATATGGCAGAAGTGCAACAATCCGAAAAGCCTGTCACCCCAGACAATCCACCTTCTAAACCAGCAAGGATGAACTGGATAGAAATGATGAACTATTTCATTGGAAAGGGAAAAATAAAAAGGGCTGCAATCTTCGACTTAAAAGGGAAATGTTTGGCTAGTAGTGAAAAGGAACGGAGCATCCCTGCCGACGAAGCTACAACTATTTTTAAATATCTAGGGACAGAATTTAAAGGACTAACTCAGTCCCATTTTGGATTATTTTTTGGAGAACATCGTTATATATGCTTTCGTGTCACAAAGAACACTATTGTTGGATGGACAAAAACAGACTTTTTCGTCGGCCACATTTGCCAGGATGTTTTGATTATTGCATTTGCTTCTATCGAAGTTGAACCCAACTTTTCATGCATCGGAGAAGTGTGGACTTTTGCCAATGAACTAAGATCTAGGATGGAAATATCAGCATTCATAGGGTAACCATTAACATATTAATATGTGATGGAGGAAGAATCTATTACCATAGTAACTCATATTTTTATACGTGCAATATTCTGTTAAATATTTACTAACGTACATGTGCATAAAGATTGTGTAGAAGAAACAATGCAATGCATTGTAAAACTGAAAGTTGATCGAGATCAGGAAAAATAGAAATTGAAGACTTTTTGATAGTTAATTATGGCATTCAACTTATATATTTTATTTATGTTTTATGTAGGTATACACGTAATACTTATACCATGTTGCAATTAGTTATAGCACAATAATAATTATTTTTTAGTTTACTTATTAGTCACAATGATTTCCTGTCACACAAAGTAGTTGAATAAATACACATATTGTTCGTGGGTTTGCCGATTGATGTTCGTGTATATGTAACTTTAAAGAGATTTACTCTATGTTAAAATCAGTTTATGTATATGTTAATACCCTTCAAGCATTTAGTTGTCAATCTAATTCTAAATTTAATTTCAATTCAAATGATCAAGGTCGGACTCCTCTCAATCGATACAATTTGATTTGAACGTCCAAGTCAAAAAATCGTCCCCAGTTGCACGAAAAGGGACGATTCTTTTGAGAGAAAAAAACTTGATGCTAATAGAACATTAAATGATGCAGACTGAAACTTATAAACTTGTATCTTATGTTTCTGATGCAGGGCATTTGTTAAAACACGCACACATGTAACATCAGACCTGGACCAGACACACAAAAAAATCAACATGTAGACTTTCATGGAATCCATCAAAACTGCAAGAAAACTGGAAAATAAAGAAGTGTTACAGAATTTTTCTATAACATGACGTAAAACGAAGAATATCAATTAATATCAATGACGTGTATAATCCACGGAACAAAAAACTCTGAACATAGAAAGCAGTGCATCATGTGTTATACTCCGAATAACCTATGTTTGCTTCAAATTTGTTTGAGCCAATAGATGTTGTTCCCAAAATGTTGGATTGCTTCGCACTGATTAAGAAAAGTATCAAGTACTTAGGCATATGCCTGATTTAACCAGAGACACTGAACAGCTGATACGAAGAACAAGAGTGCACACACTGAAATGTCTCGCCTTCTTTACTAACAATTGATATTATGTTGATAGTCCTAAATATACAGCTTTACTACAACTATCAACCTTACAATCATTCAATACACTAAATATAGTTGACCTATTGCTTATAGTTTCTAAGAAACAGACTTAACCAAGAAAACTAAACATAGACCAATGAACCATGAAAATGAGGTCAAGGTCAGATGAACCATGCCAGGCAGACATGTACACCTTACAATCAACCTATGCATTAAATATAGTTGACCTATTGCTTATAGTATCTAAGAAACAAACTTAACCATGAAAACTTAACATTGACAAATGAACCAACAAAATGAGGTCAAGGTCAGAAGATACCTGCCAGACAGACATATACATCTTACAATCCTTCTTTACAAAAAATATAGTTGACCTATTGCTTATAGTTTAAGAAAAACAGACCAAAACACAAAAACTTAACACTGAGCAATGAATTGGAAAATGAGGTCAAGGTCAAATAAAGCCTGCGACTGACAAAATATTTCCATACATCAAATATGGTTGACCTATTGCATATAGTATTAGAAAAAAAGACCACAACTCAAAAACTTAACTTTGACCACTGAACCATGAAAATGAGGTCAAGGTCAGATGACACCTGCCAGTTGGACATGTATACCTTACAATCATTCCATATATCAAATATAGTAGACCTATTGCATACAGTATTAGAAAAACAGACCAAAACACCTTACAATCCTTCCATACACCAAATATACCAGACCCATTGCTTATAGTATCTGAGATATGGACTTGACCACGAAAACTTAACCTTGTTCACGGATCCATGAAATGAGGTCGAGGTCAAGTGAAAACTGTCTGAAGGGCATGAGGACCTTGCAATGTATGCACATACCAAATATAGTTATCCTATTACTCATAATAAGAGAGACATTAACATTACAAAAAATCTTAACTTTTTTTTCAAGTTGTCACTGAACCATGAAAATGAGGTCAAGGACAACGGACATGTGACAGACATAAACTTTGTAACATAAGGCATCTATATGCAAAGTATGAAGCATCCAGGTCTTCCACCTTCTAAAATAAAAAGCTTTTAAGAAGTTATCACTATCCCTATGTCGAGATTTCTGCGACAAAAGTCACAGGCTCGACAAAAAGTAAAGGCAAACTAGGGCAAGGAATCAGAGTTAAATGATTTCCAAATTTATTCAAAAGCAAATTTTAATAAAACAATATCCGCATTTTCATGCCACTACTGACAAATCATGTTTCCTTTAATGTTTATGAGCAGCAGCATCAAAAGACAACTGTAGGGCTCAAAATGCCATTAAACCTTATTCTGAATCTCACTGACAAAATGGATAAGAATTTTTCTTGTACAGACTCACTGTAACCTGAAACTAATACATGAATCTTATTTATTGGTCCAAGCTATAACATTGTTTAAAATTAAGCAAAAGTTGACAGGCTTAAAGTATTTTTATTTTTGGAGCTTATATGTAATTTACATTTTGTATGTAAAAACGTTTCGAATCTAGTGAATATCAAATGGGGCAGATGTTATCTTATAAATAAAAACTTTTGTGAGGCACATATCTAGAAGCTGTTTCAGGGGACAGATAGTTAAAAGGTCCATTTTACTTTTACCTCACTCAAATAAAACTTTCATTTGTTGTATATGTGTTTTTGCACTAGTAGATTCTTGTACAGGCCAGCATTATACCGATACCAAGAAAACCTCAACGTAACAACTGAGTAGTATCATCACCACAACAAAACTGAATCCTAATAGTACGAACAAACCAGAATTAAAAGGTCAACTTAATAAAATCAATACCAAATAATACACTTTGTACAATTGTTCTTGTAACAAAGCAAACGAATAACTATCTAATATATCTAACATACGTCCTTGAACAGAGGAATTCACTATCTAATATACGTCCTTGAACAGAGGAATTCACTATCTAATATACGTCCTTGAACAGAGGAATTCACAGTAATTGCAAACAAATATGACCATATTTATATAAGAAAAAAATACAATCGAATTAAAGAATTATCATACAAATAAAATAACAATCACAAAGGCCAAGGATTTGTATAGTAAATATTATACAAATCCTTGCAAAGGCTAACTTATATAATAATACCATATTAACAGTAACTATATAAATTTCCATTGACTTCAGCCATGAAGAGGAACAAAATCACAAGTGTACAATGTAAGTCAGTGTTTCTGAAGATTAAATGTTGCTTACATACAAAAAGTTCAAGAGATAATCCTAGCTGCAAATTAACCAGACTCTCATGTGTGAAATGGGGTCTCGGTGGCCCAGTGGATTAAAACCATTTGATTTTTATGGGGGGGGGCTAGGATGAAAAATTTTGCCCTGCATTTTTTTTAGTTGTAATCTCTGTCCTGCCTTTTTATTTTTCACTCTATTCGGTCCTGCCTTTTTCTACATAAATTGTCATCCTACCTTTTTTTTTTTTTAACTCAAAACTCCTGTCCTGCCTTTTTTTCAAATTTCATCCTAGCCCCCCCCCCCCCCCCCCCATAAAAATCAAATGGTAGCTCCCTAAGTAGTCGAACTACTGTATCACTAGCCTTTCAGCAATGAGCTTGTGAGTTTGAATCCCGCAGGTGGCTTGACTCCCATCGTAATTGACTAGGATTGAGAGTTTTCCTACCGAAGGTAATTGGTTCTCTCCGAGCACTATGGTTTCCTCCACCATTTAAAACTGGCCGTTATATAATAGCACAATAGTGCTGAAAGTAATGCTCAACACCAATTAATCAATCATGTGTGAAATGTAGGTTACAGTGACCAAAACATCACTGGCCAATGTTGCACTTTTGAAAGAGTGTAGTAGTGAAATATCATTGATTGGTAAATGGAATTAAGACCAGAACTTAACCTAACTTTCAAAGTGTGATTTATGACATAGTTACCCAAATGATGCTGAGCAGTGCTGTATTATGCAAGGAGACTACAGTTGTAAATGTCATTGATATATTACTGAAGATTTCTGACAAATGGCCCTAAACTCAAAATGTTTGTGAAATAAAGTCACTCAAGAGTGATATTAACGGTAGGTTGTCGTTCTGACCAAAATTGAATTGTAAAGTGGTTGCAAAATTTCACTGATAATATATAAGCTTTAGAAATGAAACTTCAGTTTAAAATTAAGCAGTAACTTAAGCATGAAAAGAAGGCCATAGTGACTCAGCTGTATTGAAAAGAGTGTTGTATACAAGATTTCTGTGTTGATATATCACATATATTACCTATGGGTTCCTAAGGGCTGGAATTAATTCTGCTCAAAACTTAACCCAAATGAGCAGAATTAATTGGAAGAAACACGTCTGCCTCAGCCTAAGTTGCTGGCACCTTGGGTTCCAGAAAGCTTGATAAATAAAAGATTAAAAATTATACCAATGTTTTGTTGTGTTTTTTTTTTTTTAAAAAACTTTCAATGATTGACCTCAAATTTTACTACTTGATATCTTTGTTGTTCTTAAATGGTACAGTTACACTAGTATAAATAATTAGGACATCTTCAAAGGCTATTTGAAATTTTTTCTGTGACTACACTGAGCTATGCCTGTCCCAAATCCCCAGTAGAAAGTGCTTGTGAATTGGCAAAATTTAAATGCCACATCTTGTTTAGAAAATTTTCATTTTCCCTTTTCGCCTGTGATTTTTCACTTATGTTTTAGATACTACCATATAGTTTGGTACATTTGTGTTTTTCCAATACATAAACTTGAATTAAACTGGCTCATTAGAACCCTGCAAGTTTGCCTGAAAGTACTTAAAACTGACTCATTTATTTCTAATTTGATTTCTATCCTTTTGTCTCTTTCAAGTAACTATAATGACAATTTCCTAATGGAAGCATCATGGCAATGGGTATTATAGCTGAAGCAAGGTTTAACTACAACTAGATTACTGGATTACTGACAAAGTTGTATCATTTCATGTTTCATCTATCTTATCTACAACATATTATCAGTGAACAAGGTCCACCATGCTTAAAATATGAAATTCTTCACTATAATTTCAAGAAGTTTGAAACAAAAAGGCAGATTTTCTGTAAAGAGATCCTTTGATGAAACAAATTATACCAACAAGTTAAAGCAAGACATCTGACACAATTATCTTAATAAAGGGAAATAATTCAGTTTACATTTGTCATATCTATAACTTTCTAGGATTGTCTCCCTTTGTCATTTTTACAGCTGTATAATTTATCTTTTCAAACATTTAGACTTTAGCACTAAAAGTTGCCAACTTCCTAAATCTGTGTTCTTGTATTGGAAACAAAGCTATTCAATATCTACACAGATGTGATGTTTACCCAGTAACATTGAAATATAATAAATATAAATTCTGATCCTTGAAATAATTTTTCTTAATACTGTAAATTCAGAATTTTTGGCATTCATTTGTTATTGCAGTTGTTAAAACAATGTACAAAAATATGAGATGAATTATTGCTTTTTCATGAAGTACTACATACAAATAATGCTTTTAAAATCGAATTGTGAGTTTAAACGTTTGCAACACCTATACCGTCTCAATTTTTACAATAATAAAAACATCGGAAATTTTCAGAATTTGCAATATACATTTTCTTAATTTACTCATCTCTTGGGCAAATGTTTTTCATAAGCATTACTTTTCATATTTACATTTCATTTCCATTGGATTTTAAACATGAAGGAGGACTTATTAAGTGATATTTGTCACAATGTGGCTATTTCTATTACTGTGGAAAAAAAGATTTGATGTGTACATTGTATAAATATAATTACAATCTTTGATAACCAATGCTTATGTGAGATTAATCAATGCAATTTCTGTACATACTCGTGATTGATTGATTGTTGTTTGCTAAACATTAGTGGAAACATATTCAGGATGACATGCTCTTGAAAAACATTTCAAGCATAAATCAAAATGCTTGTTTTAATAAATGTGATGTTCATAAGAATTATAAAACATTGCATTAATTTCTGAATATGCAGCTTTTGAATAGATGGAACTGAGAAGCTACGGAAGCATGCATTTGGCAACCTAACAAATGGTATAAGGGGCACATTTTAAAAATACTATGGTATATACTATAAGATTCATTTTATAATGATCATTAAATATTTTCAAAGTGCAGGAGTGGACCCATGTGTACAGTTAACAAATAATTTATGTTACTAAATGATTTAGTTATCGAAGACAACAACTTTTTCACTATTTATTGAAGACATGTAAACATGTACCATTAGAGAAGTCTATGTCAAGGTCACAGCCTTCTTCACACTCAGAGATTTCAGTACATAACAAACCCTTCTTTTTGACATGTCCATTGACATATTGCATCTTAGTGCTGACATATCAAATCTTCTCAATGTCTTGTCTGTGAAGTGTCAACATAGTATATCAGTTGTCCTACTGATGAAAAAAAGGGTTTGAGGTGAAGGATCTTATGATACCACTTTAGTATATCATTATTCACCTACAATGCCCAGTATATTTTTTCTAGAATAACGACATTCATATTTGCCCTTTCTTTGATGAAGCATGTTCTATGTTGAAGGCATTTATCTGGAACCATGAGCAAGTCAACATGCTGGACTTTCCGATTCTTAGAAACCTGAGGATACATAACATTTCTGAATGATTTGTCCATGTCTTCTATTTCTTATGTTTTGACACTGTATCACCAGTTCAGCTGAAGTTCACTCTAGTTTTCCCATCATTCATCAACCCATGAAGGTTGTTAATCTCCAGGTTTGGCATGTTCATATCCATAGAGTGGGGACATTTTCAAGCCAACCACAGGGCCTACTGCACATAACCAGCTCAAGAGGTAGTTTCTGAAAATAAATACATTACAATAGATATCTATTTCTTATGAATTAAGGATGAAAGAACACATAAGTTGAATTGTAGAATAACTATAAATCCAAGAATTCAAATACAGAAAAATATTCAACAAGTGACCGAACAACAAATTAATTCACTAATTATTACTATGCTTTGACTTTTATTTAACATAGAACACCAATTCCCTTAACTTTGTTAATGTCCTCACCAAGGGTCCAGAAACGGTCATATTTCCCAGTCATGACCTAAACTGAAAGGTTTTAGGTCAAATTTTATTTTATTCAAAAATAATTTCGGTCATTTCATTGAGATCCTAAACATTATTTTTCACTAAATTTTGTGTAGAAATGCTTTTTCGGTAATAAAACTGCCACTCCAGTATAGTGTGATAACCCTGAGGGCCCTCCTAATAACAATATTAATGTCTCCGCAAGATATTGGCTAATGATCGCTCATCACTTTTTACCTGTCTTCTTCACACCTGACAGTAGTAATCAAGCTCAGAAATAATATTTTAAAGAATTTTTTTTCTATTAAAACTTACTTCATTATTTAAGAACTTTCCAGTATAGACAATCTCCAATTCTGATTTAAAGTTTAAAACTTTTATTAAATGTACTTTGAAAAAAAATAGTCAAACATGTGCTTTATTTACTATGTAATACACATGTGTGAAATTGTCTTCAACTGATTAGGCATCTAATTTTAAATGCTAAACTATTTCATGCTAAATTAAATGAGTGAAACTATATTCAGTTTATTCAAACACTTTTACAGATAATAAAATTAAAAATACAATGATTTCCTGCCATTTGATAAACAGAACGAATCCCGTAAATAAATTAAATAAAATAAATCTGGAATCATTCATCATTTAGTATTAACTGGAAACTTCTGGTTTTTATTTTTACCTTCAAAATCTAAAGAAGCATCACCGATTCCAGAGAAATTTACAGTTTTGAGTCATTAAAATCTTTTCAATTTTAAACTGTTACTTTCCATAAATCGTTCTTGAACGTTTTTGACAAATGTTAAGAAACTTCATGAAGTAAATGCGATGAAACCAGTCAATACAAATTCATTGATGCCATGAAATTATTTAGTGTGAATAATTTCGAGAGTTCGAAAAAAAAAGACCTGTTATTTCAAGTCATCTCAAGATGACCGAAATTGTGTGAAAAAATTTCCAGATCCTTGTCTCTCACCCCACAGCTTTAGCATAATTTTATGAAGGTTGGATATTACAAAAAATAAACTTTTATAAATATATTATTGATTAAAAACTTTCTACAAATAAAATATTTCTTTCATAATTTTTAAAGTAGTAATGGCAAGAATCTACACATAAAGGCTTACAAAAAGTCCAAATAGAGAAAAACACATAAGCTACAAACATTATACATTAGAATTGACCAAAGACTATTCAGTATACTTAAGAAGAGATGTAAGGATAAAACTGTATGCCAGACAAATCAGTTATTTTTTTCCTTCAAAAAACGGCTTGATTCAGAATTCTTATGTATAGATAATGTCTTAAATCACAAAAACTAGACAGCAAGAATATAATTTTCTTAATTTTTTTGTAAACTTGATATATATATCTTGTATTTGTTAACACTGACATACCTTTGACCATCGTCTTGTATTGATGTAACTTGTGCCATCAAATCTTTGGTGTGACATGGATGCAGCATGAAAAATGGACGTCCAAGTAAAGGGTGTTCCTGTCAAAATTGGGATTTAACATATTAATATATTCTTCGTCAAATCCTGAAAAATTTCTATAAGTTCTATGACACTATTTATACATTTTGTAACTGCCTATTTCTCATGAATAAAAGATGATTGGTAAATGTCAATAAGACAGCGACCCCAGTTTTGTATAATACAAGCTGCTTTTTCAATAAACACAAAATAGGCATATGATTTTGGTTTTTTGTTTCATTAGGTTGCTTCCTCATTAATGACATACATGCAACATTTGGGTCAAGATGCGCAATTAATTTCCTATAGGCAACAATGGTAACCTTTTCTTCCATTCCTCTGTCCATATCGTAAAGTTGGATATGTATGATGGCTTGTTTCGAAGCTGAGACATTTTCACATATTTGGTTAAATTTTCAGGGTACGAAGTGATATTAAATTTTTCACAAATTGGGCAACCCCCTGATGACCCCACGTGATCCTGCTTCAGCGAGTGAAAAGTCTTATTCACACAGTAAAATTCTCTGGAAATTCAGTTCTGTACAAACATTTAATAACTCCAAAGTTTTTACATCTTTATTGTACAGTCTTTTGCTCTTCAAAACAGCACAATTGGTTAAGCTCAGTCAATTACTAAAAATAGCATCATGTCCAATTTCATTGCATACAGGTTTTTTTATTTCTATTTATAATTGAGTACCTCACTCTGAGGGGCATTAGGGATATTGACCCATATATCCATTTATTCATATTAAAGAGTACATCACTTCTTGTATGCTTATTCTGAAATATTACTTTATCTACACCCATTAAATGAAGTACATGGATATATGTAATGGGTTTGTCTATCAAACTAGTACTATTTTGATGCAGGGCTGTCATTTGCTTGAAGCAGTGTTCTTTAATTGTTCAATACTTTTTTATTTGTAGATGGCCAAGGTTTTAAGTTTTGAGATCCTCTTATGGGTTGAATTCTAAGACTATAAATGTAAAATCAGTAATCACATATATATATGTATTTGTAGATGTGCATATCATACAAGAATTATCAATATGTAATAGTACCTGTTGTGTTATAAAACTCCAGCGCTCTTCTAACAATCTGTCCCGATAGCATTCAGGAATATCAGACCAAACTTCATCAAGACTCAATAATTTTCCATCTGGAAAATTAAAAATTTGTTTCAACATATTTCCATGATTTCTTATGGTTAAAATTTGTATATGTTATTTAGGTGTAACTCTCAGTTTATTAAACAATATTCTATTCTAAAATTTGAATAACAATTATTCTATGATGAAGAGCCTTAAAGTTAGAATTTTGTATCTAAAATTCAAACTTAATAAATTGCTTCGCCGAGCGCAGCTGGAAACGATCGCAGAGGTCCAACCCTGAACAGTTGGGGCAAAAATGGACACAATATTCGCGCTTGATACAGGTCTGAATTTGGATTGTAATTAAATATTTGACACATAAAAGGTTTCTGACACAGAATAACTGTAGTCAAAGAACTTAGAATTGGTTATATGATTTGAATTTATATTCAATTTTTTGCTTTTGTGCAATACACCTTGCTGTTGTGAATTGACCCCCTCCCCCCAGCCCCCCCCCCCCCCCCCCCAAAAAAAAAAAAAATTACCCCCCCCCTTTTTTTTGGCTTTTGTGCAATACACTATGCTGTTGCGTATTAACCCCCCTCCCCACTTTTTTTTTGCAAAAAAAATAATATTTGAAGAATTTTTCTTTTTAATTTCTGAAATCTAAAATGAGAAAAAATTGCCCCCCCCCCCAATTTCTTTTTACCCTCCCCCCCCCCCCCCTTTTTCCCTCAAAAAATTCTTACTTCAAGATATGGTCATAATCCTAATTCAAATTTCATATGGATTTTTTTGTAAAAAAAAAAAAGATGCAACATTTGCAGATATTTTTACTGGTCTTCCTTTATAAATATGCATTTCTTGAAACATAATTTAAAAGCAGTGTAAGGGAGGTAATCAAAACTCCCTTACACTGCTTTTAAATTGTCTTAAGTAATTGTCCATTTACCATTTAAAAGCAGTGTAAGGGAGGTAATTCAAATGATGAGTTTGAATTACCTCCCTTACACTGCTTTAAATTATGTTTTGTACTAAAGTTAATGTCCATTAACCAGGACACTCTTGTTTTTCCCCCTTTTTTGACCCTAATTCCTAAACGGTTTAAGCCATTACTCCAAGAGCAAATCCTAACCATCCCTTTGTGGTACGGAAACTTGTGGTATAATTTCAGAGAGATCCACACACCGTTCCACAAGTTATTGTCTTGAAACTAGAAAAATGCTTATTTGGGCCCCATTTTGGCCCCTTATTCCTAAACTGTTAGGACCATAACCCCCAAAATCAATCCCAACCTTCCTTTTGTTGTTATAAACCTTGTGTTTAAACTTTAAAATTCATAGATTTCTATTAAGTTATTGCCCGGAAACCAAACTGTCTTCGGACGACGACGACAACGTGATACCAATATAGGGCCTTTGCGGTCGTATAAAAATTGTGGAACAAAAATGTAATTGATTATTATGAGTCATAACAACTGTCAAGGCCAAATCTTTACTTCAACCCATTTGAATTTGAATAGAAAAACAAAATTATCAATGTTTTTGAGTTACTTTTTTAATCTTACTCTGGTGATACACATTAAAATATAAAACAGGGACATTATAACTGTGGCTGTATACAACATGGTACTCGTAGGTAACACATTCTGTAGAACTTAATTCCAGTTGACAATCATCTTCCTTATCTATGCAAGTCAATTCTTCATACTGTAAAGAAGCAAAATAATTTTGGTGAAAACTTTATTATACATGTTATAAGTTCTACATGCATATGATTTTTTTTCTTTGCTTAACAGTAAAATATTTCTGAGTATGATGTTTTTTCTTGTGGTTTTATTGTACAGTTAGGTTGCTGTCGCACTGATTTTTTCACTTGATCATTTTTTATTCATATTTTACCTTAAAATGAAGATCTACTTGTGCTACAACTCAATATCATACTGAAGACAAGTTTAATAACAGCTGGTCACAAAAAAAATCACTTTCAAAATTGATCAAGTGCTTTGTAGGAGTCTGAAATTTTACTTACAGTGAGAACTGTAAAGTTTTGATTTTCCATAGAAAAAAATAAAGTATGACTTCCATTGGTAACTTACATCTTTTGTAACAGATCTAATTAAATAAATGATAGAACTGTTAATCAGTATTATCAACATATCTTTGAGTATGACCAAAGCTAAATTAAAGAGTTTTTCTAATGATTTTACCAAGTATTTCATAGTAGACCTGTAACTATTAGACACAGTTACTGCCAACTTATAAATAATAAGATGTGAACTTTCAATGCTTTTCTAGATTTAAAAATCTCAATGGGAGATAACTCAGTTGTGCAGCTGTGTAATTCATAATTCTACATGCTTTGCACGCTTCAAATTTATCAAATCATTAAGTATATTCCTGCACTTTTAGTTTAAGTGTTATAAAAATTATATCTACAATAAGAAAAAGTAACGCATGATTATTTTTTTTTAATATTTCCCGAAGTTAAAATATTATGTATTATTAAAGATTTTATGTTTCACAAACTGTTCCACCCGAGTTATTGTTTCCTTGTTTCTAAAACCAAGTTGTATGATTGTAGTTTCATGATGACTTTCATCTGATATACTAGAACTGAACTTTGACATTAAAATGACTGGTAATATTGAAGTTATGATAATCTAAGCCAGCAAAACCATAAAATATGGTCCTCTGATCTTGTCAAACTCCAATCTACATTTTCACACAAAATTATATGGCTGGCTAAGTGTACAATCCATGGATTGACAAAATGAGAAATTTGTTAAAAGATCAAAATTCTGAATCAAAAAATATAAAAATACTCTTTTTCTTATCATAAAACAATATATTTATAATACCAGATGTTTTTAAAAAAACTGTCAATATACTCAGTAAAAGAGAAGATGAAATATTTGTATGCAATTGATAAAAATATTGCTATGAAAAACAAAAGTGAACATCAGTCTCACAGAGAATGGAATATTTTTGATAAGTTACTTTAAGTATATATTTTTACTGCTATAAATGAAAATGCAGGATTTACTATACTGAATTATAATTCAATGTCCAGATGAATTTATATTGTTAAACTCACCACACTTTTCTCTCTCTCTCTCTCTGGTGTTCAGACTGTCTTACTCTCTATCTTATATACATATATTTAGAAAAAAAATTCTTCCTTAGACAGATGTATTGATTAGATATTAATAGATTTATATATAATATTTTGCTTTATTATTTGTGTATATCATGCTGTAAATTGGAAGTTATAAATAATAAAAATGAAAAAAAAATTCTGTATAGAAAGTATATATCCAGAAAAGCAAACTTGTGCTATCATCAAAGAAAAACTCTTTTTGAGAATTGAAGTCCCATAACTCTGAAACAACACATCACCAAAATCTTACAAATTGAAAGGGAGCTTCATTTCCTCATGCCCATTACTTCATATAAATTATAAAAATCCTTCAAAGCAAATTTGAGTAACAGTACAACATAAATAGTCATGGTCAACATTTGGACAGAGTGATAACTAAAGAGCAAATGATGAAATTAAGTGGACCATACTTTAGTACTTTCACTTGATACCTGTATCCATCTGCATTGCAGGCACACCTACTTAATGGACCAGTGTGATGATATGGAATTAATAACCTGCTTTTGCTCAATGTGTTGTCTTGATATCTTTTTCACTTCTTTCTTGGAAAGATAATACTGTTTGTCCTGAAAAAGAGCAAACTAGATTTTATATGTACAATGTTATCATGTTTGCATTTAAAAAGTACATGTGATTAATAAGTTACCCAACAGATCTGGAATTAATCAAATTAAGCACAATATTTAATTTGTCAAAAACTTAAATTAATGTAAATTGAAAAGAGCAGTTAAGATGTATCTATTCATGACATAGGCTTGGAAAAGACAAACTAAATGAAAATCATTTCTTTTTTTGCTGTTCTTCATCTTGACATTACAGTGAGACCTTCAACATTAGACAAATGATGCTCACTCCTAAACAAAGGTTAAAGACTGACAATCAGCCATTGGTTTATGAAAGTTATTTTGTTTTACGTTGGAACCCTTTCAAAAATGCAAAGAAAATTTAAATCTTCGCTATTTGAGCATTTTTTAATTGTCTAAAATCAGGAGTTGTGGAATATGCATCCATGAGACATCAAAGCAAGGACACACACAATAGAAAAAGGACATCTTGAGGACAAGAAGTATGTTATTTTTACTTGAACACTAAAAATTTTCACATCATAGTAATTTATTTGTTTTCATATAAACTGCATGATTTAATTTATGTCTTGGAAAATAATTTATTTTGCTGCAGAATATTTCAGTTGTTATAATTTGTGCTCCCAGGTGATTCAACAGGTCTATTTAGGAATAACAGCAATACAAATGAAATTTTAGAAAATATTATTTTAATTTCTAAAAATGTTAGACAGAACTTAAAAAAATATTCAGGGGCCTATAAGTTGTTGGTTTGTATAATCCAATATTTTTTGTGTGTATTATTTAGAAGTTGGGAAATTAAAAATGTCAATCTCACTAAAAAAAATACAAATATCACTTTTTAAAAATAGTTTTTTAGTCCTGTAATAGAAAACATAGCCCTTTTTTTTTGGGTCAGGGGTAATCCTCATCTATGGATCATGGATCATGGACATGGGACTTATTTAATTTACGACTTTATTTTGTATATCTATTTGAAGGTCTGAACCAGCTTAACGTGCTTGTTAAAATTCATCTATATTTAAAAAAAAAGTATTCCCCTATTTCGTTATTTCGTTTACAAAACCCTCTTTCAACTCTTCGTTGGGAAGCCCCTAAACAGAATATTTCATTTATGAGAAAACCCGTACGTTAAATGAAGAGTGTTACGAACATAACGGAAGTGTGGAGCTATACTTAAAGAGTTGCAGCCACCAAAAATAGGACAAAGAGTTTCCAGGTTATTGAAACTTTATTTTTCTTACAGGTATTTCTTTTATTTTCCACGAATCCTTTGTCTTTTCAGCCAAAACAAGGAAATTATGTGCTAACTTTACAAATTCATCACCAGAGATTGAACCTGCCGCCATGACATAAATCTGGTCTTATACGTGGGAGTTAAATTCAAGCGTAGAACACAAAAAATACAGGTCGATCGATGTAGTGTGTGTGTATTTACCGAGAGGCCGAATGTGAATAACACGTTGATTTTATTGTTTGTAAATGTAGACTTTCAGCTAGGTAACTTAATTGGATGATTCTTCACTGTTTTCGATATTGATAAATGTGCAATTGCTTTAAGACAGAAATACGTCTTGGTTATATATAAAAGTATTTTATTTGGGTACCCCTAGGAAACCTCAGGACTTCTGTGGAGTTTCTAGATCCCCATATCTATTGAGTTAACTTGCTGCAAATAGGTCAACACTATATCACATTATTATTTAAAATTTTTGTATACATATTATTGACCACGTATATAACATTTTTTGTTTACTTTAGAAAAAAATAATAAATTAAGAAAAACTTTACTAAAAAGGTTAATAGCTTTAATAGAAATGTGCGAATTTTTAGTTTGGACAAAAATTATTACAAAAATACAACAGGAATTAAATTATAAATTCATAAAGTTTTGGTCGATTTTAATAGAGACGAATATTTCATTTGTTCTCTGAAGAAAATTTTGATATTATGTTTTAATTACAATCATTTTTAAGGTTTGAAAGATAATATTTAGGAGAAACTTTTGGTGAAAATTCCAGGTTGTGCTCTGCAACAGCCTGCTGTGGGACCTTTGTTGTATAAAGTGATGACCATCTAAACATTTTTGCTTTAAAACAAAATTTGTTATATAGAAATTAATATAAAATTAATCTAAAGATTTCTTTAAAGTCAAAAACTGCTATCATATTATTTCTATGTCTTTTAAAATTTTGAGGGGAAAAAACTAAAAAAAAAAAGCTGAAATAGTCATAATTTTGAAAATTAAGTAAAAATGTTACAATTAGAAGGAATTGCAATTAATGTGTATTAACACACAATGCTTGTTAATTTTAAGCGATGTCGATTAGATTAACAATACGTAAACATTCATTGACGCATTATTTTTTTTCTCGCCGCTAACTTGTACAAAAATATACGTCTTTTGTATTTGGCTTTGTGCCAACTACTCTTTGTCGCTGTAACACACTAGTTCTAGTTGATCAGTTTCTAGATCCTCTCATTCTCTAAAAATAACTGACTAATCAACTGTCTTCTTTGGACAGCACAACTTGATGTTACCACAACGACGGGGTCAGTGTCGTCCTTGATGGTTTGACAGGTGCGTGACAGTTCAGCTCCCAGCATGTACGCCAAGGGGAAAGGATCAACGGTACCATCAGACGCTCAAGCAAGAGAAAAGTAAGTTTTTATAAGCATATAACATATCTAAGAAAGAAAGCAATCATTTTCATACGAAATAAGAATTTTATTAGGGCGCAATTTCGATTTGATTCCGTGAAGCGGAGCGTTTTCCACCTGTACTGGGGGATGCCCCATTCACTGTGTATTATACACGGCTCTTCCGGTTATTAAACTTTCAACAATACAAATGCATGTTTCATGATTTAAACAAATAACAATGGTACTTAACCGTCCAAGACTCCAGTGACTGTTAGAGTTGTTGACATATGAATAAATGTACAAATTTACGATGCACACAACACGTAAACAATGAATTCACGACAACTTCCTGTGTCCAATAAACATATGAATGAAACAGATTCTGAATGTCTGCCCAGTTTGAAAATAAAAATATTACTTTCTTTCAGATTAGCACTATATGTATATGAATATTTGTTACACGTTGGAGCACAGAAAAGTGCACAGACGTTTTTATCAGAGGTATGAATATATTTAATGTTATATAAACAACAACAAATTATCATTTACCTATCTACATCAACACTTCTTCAATTAGGGTTGCATACAAGTTTGGTTTGGATTGCCATTGTGGCAATTTTGTTTTAAAATTTCTTTTTACAAAAGGGTATTGAAGCCAGCCTATTAAAGACTACCCATACAATCATGGCAAGAGAATTTACCCTCTTAGAATATTAGAGGCACAGAGATTAAATAAAACACTCATGACAATACTTTGGGAGCATATACATGTTATGTATGTCCAGCCCTTTGTGCAGAGCTGCGATGAAGACAATTATGTGATTTTCGAATAGTAGTATCATTTTGTTATATTTTTATGATAAGAAATTAATTTCTCAAATATCTGATGCTTATGCAATTTCAATGTCCTATATACATGTAAATGCTACATCAAAAAGAAATCACCAAACAGCAGTTCTGCCAACTTGAGTGAGATTTGGCCAAAATTGTAAAGATCAAAGAGAAAAAACAATAGATCAAATGAAAATGCGTGAGTCTCACGCTAAATGCGTGAGACTTGGCAGCCCTGAAACAGCTTAATAGATGATTGTTCACTCCACAAGGTACATATATTAATATACATTGTATATATCAGATATTTCTCTGAATATATTGTTTTCTTAGTTATCTTATAACTTTATTACACCAACAGTGATTTTTTGAACCTTCTGTTACATATTGTGTGGTGTAGACAAAAAATTTTTAGAGAGCAATTGATTGACATTTTCCCAACTTTGTTAACATGCCCAAACAATCCATGTTCAGACTCGGAGAAATGTAGGAATGCTGCAAGATTGCACTCTAGATTTCACTCTGTCATAGATAATAGTAAACAGATATACATGAAAGCTATGGGACTGAATTAATGTTTGTAAACCTTTAATAAATCAACTCTCAAATGTGGAAAAACAATTAAATAATGTCATAATCAATAAGTGAAAAATGATATTGAGATATTTTAATTGGTAATTTCAGATACGATGGGAAAAGAACATAACATTAGGAGAACCACCTGGGTTTCTACATTCCTGGTGGTGGTAAGTACATTAATCGTCCTTCCCCTTGCCTATATCATCCTGCTCTGTCCCTCCGTAATTCTTGTGTCACGGCTTTGAGATGTGAGCAGGCCTTATCAGCAACATCACAATGTCTGAGAAGTTATCAACGACCTCTCAATTTTTGAGGAGACATTATCAAGCTTGCTTTTCTCTAGCGTAAAAGTGTTGACCTGAAGGGAGGGGAAAAAGACCAGTAATAGAACAATAAACAGATTATCAGGTTTTCTATGTATAAATATCGTAAAAATATCAACCGCTTGACACAATGTAAAGCCATTTTGTCTGTTTCCTGCACTCACTCGCCAAAAAAGGTCTATATTGTGGCTCGCGGGTGATATTTTATGATATCAGTATGTAGAAAACCTGATAATCTATACATACACTTCATATGACTGTGATTAAAGTATGCTTTAACAGTGTCTTCTGTACATGTACTGAGTGTAATGTCAAAACAATCTACACCAATTTCCATTGTGAGACAACAGGAGAAATACTGAGAGATTTTTTTTCTGTCACACTTTACATGTACAAATGTACATTGTAGCCGGGATACTTATAACTTGGTTACTAGACCAGTCTTTGATTCCAAACTATTTTTCATGAGTTAAAATGTATAGGATTTGTCTGAGTGAGAACCCTGTCTCTAAATGATTAAAAGTTTGATGACAGGTGATCATGTTTATCCCTTCAAGATTAGAATGAACCTGGAAATTGATGTTGAGGTTCAGATGAGATCAAAACTTTCAGCTGTATTTGAAGTTTTTGAGTTTGAATAAATACTGCTATAGATATGGATCAACTGGCTGCCACATTTTTTACTGGACAGATAAAAAAGGGGAGGTGCGTATTGATTGTCAATAAGATAATTATCAGACCAAATGATGTTGATGTTTGATATATATGTACAGCCTTTAACAATGAGCAAAATATTCCATAAAGTGAGCTATTATAGAACAGACATTGACAAAAAAAGTAAAACAAAAATACCAACCACTGATTTATTATTAAAACAACAAACGAAAAACAAATATGACAGACAGCGATTTTGAAGAGTATGACTATCCACCTATTGTTAGAGAAAAATGAATATAAACAACTACCACAAAAATAAAGGCTCCTGGCTTGGGACAGGCACATACAGGATGTGGAGGCATTACCATGTTTGTGAGCTCTCAACCCTCCCCTAATCTAGGAGTCTGGGACATATGTGAAACAGCACAATACTAGAACAAACTAAAACACAGTTGGAAAGTACTGGGCTCATCAGATCTGCACGAAGCACACAAATGTTCTGTTGAGTCTTAATTTCATGTAGGAATTGAGAAACTAAATCTTTCTTACATGTACAGTGTATCTCTAGGGGACATTTCTTACATGTACAATGCAGTGTTCTCCCCAGGGCCTTTTAGCATCATGGTAATGTGATGCTATATTGCTTGAATGTGATGCTATTAAAAATGTTTCCTTTATAGAAAGTGTTATGGATGTGATGCTATAAATTCTAGAAACAAGATGGTATTTCATGGGTTTTTTGTTTACCAGGATGCTATATGAAATTTGTAGGAAGAACACTGCAATGTATCTCTAGGGGACATTTCTTACATGTACAATGTATCTCTAGGGGACATTTCTTACATGTACAATGTATCTCTAGGGGACATTTCTTACATGTACAATGTATCTCTAGGGGACAAGAATAGTCAGCGAAATTATGGAGATTCCCCAATATTGGAATTTCAGGAGTATTTATCAACTTGATGTGAAAAAGAGACATGCATTATCGTCTCTGTATTCATTTGTAATTACATTCCATCATAACTAGCACCTTGAAATATTTCTCTGTAGTTGCAGTCATACTTCATGTAGACTCCAGTTTGTGTTACATCTGTGACCACTAATATTGTCAGCCAAAATATACTCAATCCTTTTCTTGTGTGTTTGATTGTGACATCAGTGAGTGAGCACTTTCATCAAATTTGTATATCTTACCATGAGCAACACATCACAAGCCACATATGGGACGGGATAAGTTTTTGTGTTCTATTCAGTCATGTGTATCATTGTTTATACTTTGTCTGGTTTGTGAGTGGCATGAAAAGGTACATATACACCATGAGATTGATTGATGGTTGCATACTATTAAAGGATGATAACATGTCAATGAGATATGATTCTATGAATATACAAGTGTTTTATACTAGTCTTGCATCATGCTAAGTCAGATTTTAAATTTGTTAGCTAACAAGGTATGCAGGAAGACATACCACTTCCCTCGCACACATTATTCTGGTCATGAGTTGACCACGTCTTTGCTCTTACACTAAATGCTGAGTGCTTGAAAATGAAACGGAAACTATCAATTTAAAAGTCTTTCATTGCTTCAGCTAGGGATTGAACCCACAACCTCTCAAACATAAGTCAAGCATTCTACCACATGTACTAGACCACTGAGGCAGTTCATACAGATTCAACTAATATTTTTATCCATTAATAACCTGGTGATGGCCTCATGTGCCAGCCTGCTGGAAGAGGACTAAACAGAAGAATATATCAAATAGTCAATTATTAATACATGTAGTTGAAGTTTTGTGACCCATGTGCTTTATTGGCACTATTTGCTTTTTGAAAAATGCCTTGGTATAAGCAAACGGAGAAAAATGTAGCCTCCTTTGTAAAATGAAGTCTGTCGAGGAGATCAAAGAATTTCTGATAAGATCAAAACCATGTAAATTGATTTATAACATATACTGTCAAACCTGGTCTAATAGGGAACTGCTTATAAAAGGCGGTCCTGTACCCACCTAATTTTCCTATATAAAAGTGTCCTTCATGTATAGCGTGTAAGGTCCAACACGAGCAGCCAGCACTATTTACATGTGCAAAATGGCTGAAAAGTTTAAAGCAGACAGTTTTGACGACTTGTGTAAGTAAAATGTCCACCTTAGATGTCAAAACAAATAACTTTGGAAGTTCTCTGGCTTTACCAGGGTATTACGTCTTACTGCATAAACATTACCAGCCCATTAATACAAATGAAGACATTAAAGTTTACAACAGATTTTGGTATTGCAATATTCAAAGCATCAAATCTATGACTAGAATCATTCAAAATTCCAAACAATGAATAATAATTTCATGAATGTAAGTCTTGTTGCACATGTACAGTTTTCTGCATTGTAAATAAGAAAAGCAGTAATAACCATATTAAACACTTGAAAGGGATGATACAAGGACTTTACAAACGTATGGCCTTTTGTCATGCAAAAAAAGAAAGTAGGAAAACTTTTCCTGGAAAAGAATATTATAAATCAGAACTTTTGTCTCAAAATTTGACAAGACAAAAATGTATGGGTTTTTGGCTATGTATGATGCAAAAAGCCCAGATATAAAAAAATATTAAAAATCAAAATTTTTGTCGTCAATAAACTGTGGAGAGAGAGATATAATTTTTTTGCATATTGATAAATCAATTGATTGTCAAATAGATCCAGAAGTTACAATAAGCATATCATATAAGTACATGTATATATATATATATATATATATAAGCTGTTAATGTGATAATTTTCATGGCATTTATTTTTCACTGTTTTTCTTGTAATTCACAAAATTTTGACTTACTTCACAGGTCTTTACCATTTATTTACGTCTTTCTTGTTATTCACAACATTTTAACTTACTTCACAGGTCTTGACCATTCTTTTACGTCAGCTCTGAGTCAAATATTGTCCCTATCAGTCCTATTAGAAATTCTATATTACTCTATATAATACCCCTGTCGTTCAAGTTCATGGCCACCATCCCTATACTCAACTTCACGCTCATCCAATTTAAAATTAAAAAAAAGGAAAATATAATCAGTAATCTAGTCATTTTTATGCCCCCTCAACAATTATTTTTTTGAGCATATTGATTAACCCCTGTCTGTCTGTTTTCCATGCACCCCACATAGGGTACAAGGTTTGTCAGGCTTACTCCCCTAGTTTTCAAGCTAGATTTGGAGAAAAATGCTGATTCGTTTGTACATTTATTAAGAGTGTCCTTTTTATCAGGATTTTAAAATTTATTGAGTTTTCCACAAATGAAAGGCTGTTGAACTTCTGTAAAAAAATGCATACAGGGTTCATCGTTTGTCCAGCTAACTCCTACAGTTTTCAAGCTATAACTGTTATATCATACTGAGTGTTAATAAATATATTAAAGGTGTGCATATTATGAACAGGGTTTTGATTTTCCTCAAATTTTCCATAAATGACAAAATATTGAACTTTTTGGTGAAGTTATGCATGTGGTGTACATGGTTGTACATAATTGTACTTCAACATGGACTCTGTTTACTAAAAATAAATGTAACTGCAATATATTCAAGCATATCTTGGGAGTAGAATATATATAACGCCCTAAAAAAATTGTTGCAAAAATATAACACTTTCGGTATTCTCATCTATAAATACATCAGGAAAATTAGAAAAATAAATTGCTGCAGAAAAGGGCTAAACGCTAACTAAAATACCCCCGAAAATAATTTGATTTACAGTATTTAATACAAAAAGGCCAATTTCGCCTAAATATGTTTCACTCGCAGGTTAAAAATTAGAAAGGTGATAAAACCTAGTGGAACTTTGATATTAAAGTCTACACATAATATGCTTAAAAGATTTCTATCAAGTTTACAATACATATCTCCATTAAATTGAAATGAAATTGGGCACTATGCATTGCAGCTGAAGACAACTTTGTTACAATATTGCAAACATATCATATCAAAGGTTTGCAAAAATTTCAATGATAGGCAGACCTATATAACCAATTTGAATTAATTTATTCCTAAAAGACAATGCAATTTAATTTTGATCTTGGCTAAGAATTTTGAATAAATACTCCAAATTTGTTAAAATCTTTCATTTTATGCTAGGTAAAATGTAATTAATAATTTGGTTACATGTTCAGGAAAATGACAAACTATAATTTTTTGCAACTTTAGAGCTGTGATAAATTGGATTGAAGGACTTTTTGAAAATGGTCCAAGTGCAGAATAATTAAGGAGAAATTGGCAATACTACCTTGCCATGTTTATAAGTTAGTTTGCTTCAAATGATAAATAATTTGAGTCCATAAGTTAATGATTCCAAGATGGGCTTTCTCTTTGATAATTACTCTTTGAGTCTTTATTCACCTCCTAATCCTAAAAAATACATTTTATAGATATACATTCCTTTTAGAACCTTTCCTTCAGATTCAGAAAAAAAATCAATGTAAAACATGTATATTATACAACAGTTACAGATGTAACAAACATGATTTATGTACACATTTTGGGTTTTTTTGTTTTAATTTAAAGTTGTCAAGTTTTGTGCTTGCAAAAAAGGCAGCTTATTTATCAGGTTAATGTAATTAAGTTTACACACGTAGAAATCTTTTTGTGGAAAAATAGTGATACAGTTTTCTGTTGATATTTCTGGTCTCTTTTCACTAAGTTTGATGGTCAATCACAAAGTCCACCTGGCTTTCATCAAGTGCATTTTTTATGGAATACACATTTCAGTTACTGTAATAATCTATGTTTCTGGTGGTTTGTAGATTCAATATATAGTCTTATAGAATGTTACATACATGTATAAAGGTAAATTGTATATATGTATTGCAGATGCAGATGCAAATGAAATGAATTACTTATAAAAATATTTAAAAAATATATTTGCGTTTGTTATAAATTTCATTCTGAGTTTTAGACATGTGTAGAAGTTTTCCCAATTGGCTCAAGTCTTTGTCCAAGAATGTAGGTCTTCTATAGTGACCGTCCCACTTCATATTTAACCCAAGGACATAACATCATTGTCAGTTTATGAAAGTTTGAAGAATTGAAATTTTAACTTTGTATATATTATGTATGAGGGACATGGCTGAGTGGTTATGGCCTGCAGGGCTTTCCATAGAAACTGATGGTTAAAGAAGACATATTGATTTTGTGATAGTATTGATTTTAGAGCTGCTATAGTTTTCCTCAGTCAACCAACCAGAATCTTGTACACCTGCATATCTGCAATAGTCAATGGTTTTGCTTAGCAGTAAAACCTGACACTGTCCTAAACTTAGTTACAGTGGAAACTGCCATATTTTTAACATGATTTTCTATGAGTCATTAAAAAAAGCTCCATAAGCAATGTTACTTAACAAACAACAGCTATTATTGTCAAGGCCAAAGCTAAGTCATGACAGTAATGGTATGCTATTTGGGTCATCACAAAGACAAAATAATTCTTCTTAAGTAAACACAGATTTAGAAATTGTCTAGCTGGGTAATTTTCTTGTGTGTATTTTTAAATGACGAAGTTTCTTCATTTTTCATAAAACAGTGCGTCATATTAAACAAACAATTACTAAGTTGTTTACTCCATATTTCAATATTTTAACTGAAAATTTCAGGTTTATTAAATTATGTAAATGTGATAAAATTTAGGTTTCAGCTTCCTCTGGCAAATTTGACCGTGTAAGATTTTGGCCATTTTATTTTTTTTTTGTTTTCAAATATATTGTTTGATTGTCTGAACTTTTAGTTTTGAGTGTGTCTGATGAAGGTTGTTTCAGAAACATGTGTGTTGTTAACACTATACATATTTTGAGTCACATGTTTATGTGCATGTTTGTACTAGTGAAATGTTTTGATAGACACGAGCCAATAAACTGGTGAAATGCAAAGGAATAATCAATACATGATAGTAATGACTCTTTAATTGCTGTTCTTCATCATGAAAGTGGCTGGGAGTTCTTTTAAGATGACTTAAAAAGTTCACAACTTTCATTAAGATCAAGATGGCTCCTGTGGTAATTTTCTATATACATCAATTGTTGTTGATTGATTTATTTTCTTAAGTACCAATTTTTGTGGATTAAGGAAAACTAGAGATTTAATGGGTACTTGATTTTCTGATTTTTGGAAATGCTGTATATAAACTGCTACATGTAGATAGGAAATTTGTATTTTGTGGAAAACTTAGATTTGTTGTTCACCTCAATCCATCAAAATTATAACCCTACGTTTCATACTGTTACTAAAGTTTGATAGTTTAAATCAGGAGTTTAGTGTGACGTCCATTTTCATTGAACTAGTACACATTTTTGTTTAGGGGCCAGCTGAAGCTCGCCTCCGGGTGCGGGATTTTCATGTGTATTGAAGACCCATTGGTGGCCTTCAGCTGCTTTCTTCTCTTTGGTAGGGTTGTTGTCTCTTTGACACATTACCCTTTTCCATTCTCAATTTTATTTTGAAAATATAAATTTCCACGATGTCATTTATGGAAAAAGTAGTAGCAGAAATCTATTGGTCATGAAATTGTGTTTGATCCTTATTGTTGAGCATCATATGTTTTGATTTGACTATTGGTTGAAGTTTTCATACAAGTTCAAATTTTCTTTTGACTGAAAAACCGAGCTCTGGTTATTTATGTGCAACTAGTCTGAAATTAAATGAAAATGACATATTTTTTTTTTACATTTCAGTGTATTTTGGGATTTATATTGTGCAGCTCCAGAACGAAGGGACACATGTGATCATTCTAGTGAAGCCAAAGCATTTCATGATTATGTAAGTATTCATAACCAGGGCCTTAAGGTGTGTGGTCCTATTCTGTTCATCTACGAAGTACACATGGAGTTGACATCAGGGTATTCTTTCTTGATGGAGTGCCGTTATTTTGTTTTATTCTGTGTTTTATGTGTTACCAATTTTTGTTCCCCTGTGCAAAGATCATTTTTGGGGTCTTAACCAATTTCAAATGGATAAAAATATATCTGGGATACATATCAGTGAAACGGCAGCCCACAAGACATTTATAGTTAAACATAGGGTCTACATACTTAGACAATTGTTTATGCAATATGTCAAGCTCTATATCTACTCCAGTCTAGAAAAGTTGAAAATAAAGTTTTCAAAGCTTCCATCAATACTAAAATTCCCCTGCAGGACAACAAAAATATTAGGAGAATACTAAATACAACTACTGACAAGGTTCCTGGTTTTGAGTCAATGACTTTGTATCATGGTTGAATGTCACACACATGTTGTCAATGACAAAGGATGTGTCATGACCTTGACTCAAGGTCATTTTATGAGTATCTTGGTACATGTAACAGGACAGAGTTTTATATTACCAATTTGATTATAACAGTTCTTGAAAATTCCGATTATTACTGAGGATATGTGATGACACCCTACATGTTAACAGTGATTTTAGGGAACATTGTGTATTACAGTCACGCAAAAAGATTTGAAGAAAAAGTTGTACACAAACAAAAAAAGAGAAATGAATCAGTCAGTATTCATCAATCTTGTTGTATGTAACCTTCATTAAAGTAATTTACTAAACAACTTAGATGAAAAGTTTTAATTTCATCCACATTTGGAGTAGGGACATGATGGACAATACTTGCATGTTGTTAACTTTGTCCACAATACAGATTGGACAAAGGATGAAGAGCACTTTCAAGTTGTTAGAACGTGTCCACAATACAGAGTAGAAATAAAGTTTATTTACTTCATAATAAAATTGATCAGTAAATTTGATCGATGTAGTTTTAGATCATTATTTTTTAGTCCCCTAACTGGTGCTTAGTAGGGTACCCCCTCAGGTTACAATTTCACATTTAAAATAACTTCAGATCATCAGGTTTCTTTTAAGCAAATTTGAAATTAATTGTTAGTTTTGAACATTTTAAATGTCACAGGTCATTTGAAATGTGACATCAGATCGCAAGGTTGCCCTCCAAACCACTCAAAATTTTTGTTTCATTCCTTGTTGAGCAATTTTCTAGGATTTGAGGTTCTTAGAGATAGAAAATTGCTTTAGATATGAGCTTTTAAAGGAATAAAAATTTGACTTTTCACAGGCTAAGTTGGTCTTGCATTAATTAATAATATTCACATCTTTAAATTAATTTTTAAACACAATTAATAATTAGATAGAAATTTACAGCTAAATCAGTAGCAACTTAATGCTTTTTTTATATACATGTAAGAGTAAATTAATCCAAGTAAAATGTTGCAACGGGTAGGGGATATTGTATCGCATATATGCAATACCCTTAATCTGTTTGTTTTTAAAATGATAGATAAAAACTTTATCTGAGAAGGGATGACTGCCTTCTTTTGAAAAAACCTGGTAAAATCCACATGATAAGTAGTATTATAAAGTGCTTAGCCATGGGAACATGTTGGAACCATGATTAGAGTTGAAATGTGAAGGAATAAATGCTGCATTACATTGGTTAATATGGTCAAATTGGATAGTTTGGTTGAAAAGAGACATTATTAATGTACCAAAACCATCTTTGAGCACAAATTTCAATGTATGAGATATAGTATTTTTGCAAGACGCTTGAGCACTAAACCCCCCCCCCCCCCCCCTTAAAAAAAAACAACCCAGATAACAAAGTACCAAAAGATTAAGGCATTTACTGGTGTTAGTTTTAATATAGGCAGAAGTTGATGATTACATGTGTTATATACATATATTTGAATGTTAAATGTATAATCAAATTTTGAAAAAATAGAAACAAAACAAAAACAATGTAAAATGATGTTTGAAAGATGAATCAATTGTTGAAATAAAAAAACAGAAGCATGCTCCAAAAGGTGTATTAAAACTTTTGATTCTATTACACTTGATTTCAATTGAAGTTTTTTAATAATGTTTTAAGATAATGATTTTAACAAGTATTAGTTAAACTTAGGTTATAGTTAAAAGATGTCAAATTGGGTTTTAACTATGATGACAGCTTAAAGTCTGGGAGTCTGGGCCCAAGTGGAGTATATGGATCAAATAGCAGGCCATTCATTAGGAGGCGGTACCCGGTACTTTTACCCACCTAAGCTATTGACAAGTACCTCCTAAATATAGGAATTTTTATATAAAGTATTCATGGAATAAAATGAAAAGTACCACATACAAATGGGGAAAGTACCAGTCAACATGAAAGATAATGAAACCCATGAAATAGTTGTCTGTACATTAGTATTTGGAAATTCCAGATAAAGTCTTGAATCATGCATTAACTATATATAACTATGCATAATCTATTACAATCTATTACAAATTTGAAAGGATAATTCCCCATTATAGGAGGAGAACCTCTATTGATTTTGAGATAACTAAGTATACATGTATATATGTATAAGATCAAGGTCACAGCAGCTATAAGTGATCAGTTCTGAGAAAATTTTATTTGTATAAGCATCTTTTCATGAATTTAAGTCTTTGCTATTTTTAGAATAATCCACAGGTATGCTCATAACTAAAAATGTTCTCTGTAAATAAACTGCTTATTAACAGAACCGAACATCATATATAACGCATGTGACTTATTTATAAAAATAAGGAAATGTGGTATGATTGCCAATGAAGTACCCACCAGAGAGTAAAGGATTAGAATGTATACAACTCTAGGTCTCAGTTCAGTCTTCAACAATGAGCAGAACCCATACTGTATAGTAAGTTTAAAACCCTAACATGACAAATGGAAACATATCAAAAGAGAATAGCTCTTTTTACAAACAAATAACCAAATTTAGCAGACAGCAACCAACTGAATTACAGACACAAAAAGAATGTGGCAGGGTGAACATGTTTATGAGCACACAATCCTCTCCTTCCTATGGCAGTGGTGTAACAGTACAACATAGAATAAACTGTAAAAATTCATTAAACAGGATTTGACTTACATGTATCAGATTGGCAAGTAGAACAAATTACACATAACAAAAAACACAAAAAGCAAAAGTACTCACTGTCACTAAAAGCTAAAAATAGTTCTTAGCTAATTTCAACTAAGACAACCCATATTTTCCAAGACTGAATTACATGTTTCATTCAGTCCATATTCCAACAAATCTTGATGTTTTCTGTCCTTTTGGTAAGGGAAAATCTATGTTGATTTAAGGTTGCTGTGTAAGGTCTGTTTAAATGCAGCAGTAAATATAATGTGTGAATCACATTGGTTAGGGATATCTTCTTTTGAAACATACATTTTGTATTTATTCAAACATAGTTTGATAATTCTTCTTATTTGGAATAACAAAGTGATTGTGATAGAGGTCTTTATTTCATCTTGGGATTTATACGATGATACTTTTGAAGAGTCCATAAACATGACAAATATAGTGAGTGATAACAAACTTTTAAGAAAATAGTACATATGAATTTTTCTTGAAAGGGTGATGATAATTGACCCCAGTCACCATCAAGCATTTTCATCATGGTAAATGAATATTAAGTATTATGGGAAAAAAATCAATGAACACATTTTTGAAGGGCCATTTGCTGTAAAGATTGCTAAAAAGGCTTTGCAGATTTGAATGTGGCCATCCTGATAAACAAGAATGGTCCTGAATAAAGTTTTTTTGATTACTTGGCACTTGGTCCAGTGAGACTCAAAGCTCAAAACGGGTCATCTCTTATAGTACTGACAGAAAAATCAAATTATATTTAAACAATGGTAGGTCTGAAAAAAGACATAATGGTCCAATGCCTCTAAATTTTTGTCAGAATGTAGTCAGTTGAAAATAGACATTTGACTTTAAATTAGCATTCAATATTTATTAGAGCCCTACTATTGTGGTAATTGTCTATACATGTATGACAGGAAAAGCTAAAATAAAAATAAGAAACTAGATGGGAAGGCATTCTGTTTAGAATGACTCCAACAAGATAGGTACTCTGCAAATCCTCTTATCTGAACATGCTGAAAGGCCCTGCAATATATTTTTTTTTGTGGGGAATGGTTTGGTTTTAGGGGTGATGCTGTTAGGCTTGTGTTTCAAAATAGTTAATCTTATAGGACAGTCAATGGACTTGAAAAACAGCAACAACCAATTTCTCACATATATATATATATATATATCCCATTGTTTGAGAACAAAGCATCTACCAGAAAGATTACAAGGACACCTGTCCTAGAATATTCTAGAAAGGAACATTTACTATTTAAGCGCATTTTAAGTCACTTAAAGATTAATTTGTGAATACATGGATTGTACCCCTTTGTTATGTAGGTACAGAGGTACAGCTTCCTATTTACCTACTAAGTAACAATAATTATTTAATGATATTTCATGCTTTGTTGATAGTTATTATTCCTTGATGTTTAAAAAAGATGGTAACACATATTCTAAAGCTAAAAATCAATATCTGAGCTTTAAATCTATACACACTGGTATTGTGTGTAGTGTTTATTGATTTGAATGTGACATCTCTCTAAACAAGGTGTAAGGGTCCTAACTGTAACTGTTTTCTTCCCCAAACTTATCACACTTATCGTTGGCACATGAATTAGTACATGTATGTACACATTGAAGATTTGGTATTATGTAAGACAGGATGTGTGGGGAAAACTGTTTTTACTTTTAAATATTTGTTTTTAACTGATTGCTTGCTGACTTCATTGTTAGATTTTTAAACTTAAATGTGTTCGTCGATTTCTGTGAGTTCTATAATTACAACAGAAGAAAGCATGTGTGGTGAGTCTAGTGTTGACAAAAAAAAATAGTTTAATAGAAGGGAGATTGATAGATATTTTTTTTTATTTACAATTTGCCTGTAGTTTCATTAAACAAATTATATACTGTGTAAGTAATGCTTCTATTTCATATTAAATATCTGGCTATATTGTTATGGACTGACAAAAAGGGGAATATGTTCATAAGATGAAATTTTCACCTATAAAAAAAGATCAATATTTTTTTCTAATTTCAGGATGAATAGAATTTGGTTATTTCTAGAATTTTCAGTGGAACTGATTAGGGAAAATTCCATGTTTTGTTCACCTTTCAAGTCGATTTATTTTTTTTTGTTTTCTGGTCTTTATATAAACAAATAATAAAAAATCCATAGCTATGCTTCCCACCTTTAAAGTTAACTTCTTGTGATTCTAATTTTGAGACAATAATCTTAAGTTGTAAATGTATTACTTATGGATTGCTAAAAATGGGGGATGCCAGTACATGAATACAATGGTGGTGAAATTTGAGTTTGGGTTTGGGTTGGGGGGCATTTATGAATCACTCTGTCTGTCTATAGCTGGGGAAGTTTTGTTTAGTTAAGAACTTTGAGTGCATTGAAAGATATTAATTATACCTACCACCAGAGGGTATGTCCTTAATAAAGTTTGAATGTCTGTTTGGAATATCAAGGTCATAAATATCCAGAGTTGATTGGTGTACTACTTTTGACCACTGTATAATTATGGCTGCCTTGGATGATATTGTGGATATGTGGAATGATTTTTACAAGCAACAAGGGCTATAAGCATGATGATGTAATGAGGCAGGAATGTTTGCAAGGTCAATAACATTATTTCAAATAAACAAATTCCAGTCTGCCTCAGAACTATAAAATACCTTTAAATGATGTTTTGTGTAAGTGTTGCCCACCAATGGATTATATCACAAATAAGGTTGAAATGTCTGGAAGGTCAAGGTCACTAACTTGTCCAAATGTACAAATTTTGACAGCTGTATAATTTGGTTTCCTTGAAGACAATATCTTTCTTTTAATATTTTGTATATTAAGATGAATACAAAGGGATGGGGTTTTATTTTTCTGAGCTTTGCTCTCCCAGTACCTCTTCTGCTTCAACATTGTAAGTGCCCTCATGCCAATGTTTTTTTTTTAACCTCGATGAAATATATGTCAGATTAGTTAACATCAGCAATATCTGAGATAAATTTTTAAATCGGCCAGATCAATTATGTTTTTGGGACTTAATTGCCCCTGGAAGCATAAATAATATGTAAAATCAACTAACACCTACATTCCTCATCAGAGTGAAATATAATAATGTCAAAGATTTACATCAGCAATATCTAGGATGAGTTTGAAAATAAGGGGTGAATGATTATTTCAGGGAGCTGTGGCTACATTCTTATCACCTTCAATCACCAACATAAGTGATTTTTTAACTGAAACACTTTGTATTTGACTATAAAATTACAAAGTAATGAAGGGCCATTTTCTTTCAGCAAACATATTATTTGGTTCAATTTACATGTTGCTTGCTCAAAAATACTAAATGGTTTTCACACTGAACGAATACAGTCATAGAGCCTGTATATTTGCTTTCAAATCTATTAAGGTATATCTCTTAATTTGTAACATAACATACAAATACTCAGCATCAACTATATTCAGCTTGTCTTTGGCATTGTTGTCAGAGTAATGTTTTGTCACAATCAAGGCAAGCAGGACTCTTTTTTAACCGTCTTCATGTACATATTTCTTGAATCACTATATATTTGGATATTGTTATTCTTCAAAGCATTTTTAATGTGTGGAAAACATTGCACACTTATGCCTACCATGTCAGGAACATAGCCAGTAGTTGTCATGTGTCAAATTTTATTGTTTTTCTGTATTTGGAGAATTGAGTTTTAATGGCAGATCTTTGATTTTTCTTTCTGTAAAAACTAATTCACAACTTTTCTAGACTAAGGGACGATTTAGAGCTTGATATATACCAGTTTATTGTTGAAGACTGTGCAGTCTGTAGATGTCTTTTAGTTATATTTGTCATTTGGTTGCTGTTTGAATGAAGTGTATCCCCTTCTTCTGTTATTCATATGCGTTAGAATCAATATACTGTAATTTACAAACTTTTCTTGTAACCAAAATTATTTGTCTATTTTCAGGGTTTTGTAAATTCAGGGTACGGTGTCAATGGCATGGCACACGTAAGTACAATAAATAAGTTTATTATTTCAATTAGTACATTTTTGTTCACTATATGCAGTGTTTTGCTAAACTTGACAGAAACCTGGAATGTTTGATATCTTGGATGGATATACTAAATTAAACAAAAGAAATTTGAAAATAGCAAAGTTAAGTTTATAAGTCAAATTTAAGCTCAATTTTGGCCAATCACACCTCAAACTGAAATATTTCATCAAACCAGAATAACAGTAACTTATCGTGGAACTTGGTCCAAATCTACATGCTTAATTTCTTCTTTTTAAGAGTCATTATGGGTCTTTGAAATACTAGAATTGTGGTTATCACAGTTAGTTTAATTGTCCCATCCTAAGTTTGTGTTGAAAAAAGAGAGACTTGAAATCTGTTGTTCTCAATTCATCACAGTAAAATATAGCTCAAATGTACCAGCATTTTTAAAATGATGTGGACATGTTAAATCATTTTGTCACTTATTTGTGACTAACTTAGGATAGTTTCTTACACTTTATTTGCCAAATCAGAGACAGGTTATTAATTCTGAATATATTTCTTGCACTTGTATTCATTTAATCATTTTCAAATTTTTAAATGTGATGAACCTTAAGGAATAATAATTTAAAAAATTTCTACAGAATATAAGGACAACTAGAAATTTACCTCAATGACCAGTTACAACTGACCAGAAGTAAGACTTAAAAACTAAATACTTAATTTCATAATTGATTTTGCAGTTTCCCCCTAATTTTAAAAGTAATATGGACCATATAGATCATTTAAAATCGTTTAATTATTGGAATTTCTGAATAATTTTCCATGATCCGAGCTGTTTGTCACAGAAGGCTAGATACATGATAAAAATCTTTTAAAGGTAAGGGTCGAACAAGGTGATAAAAAGATTTGCTATGCCATGCTTCACTGGTTAAATGTGACACCATTGTAAAATTCAAATATCTGTTATTTACCGAATATTTACCAATACTACAATGGTATGTAGTAAATAATATTAGTAAACACCAGCCAGGCTAATTGATTTTAATGCTCCAAATTTGGGGATCTTCTCCCTACCCTAGCCTTGGTGTATACATGCATGAATAATAGAATGTTTACAGATTTTCAGCAGGTTGAAGTTGGACTATGAATAGAAACTTTACTCACTTGATAAATCAATAGAATTGAGGAATCCCTGGGGGTTCTAACAGGAATTCTTTGTAATAAAACTTTTGTTTTGTAAAATGAGGAATATAATTGTTAATGCATGTAAGAACTTAAAAAAAGATGATGAAAATGTATTTAAAAATTAAACATGATTAATGCTTCTTGAAAGTAGGCCATTGGAAAGATTTCTATACAATACCTGTGTATAAATTAATGTACAAGAGATATAGGCCACTCCATGCTATTTTTATGAGTTAAAATACAGAACTACTGAACACATGGTTAAGGTTACCTTTGTTTACAATTTTAAAAACATGAAAATACCTTGGTGTGTCCAGTATTTTTTTTTAAAGCTTATAGATTAAACAAACAAACAAAAAATGTTTTTAATTTATCTATTTAATTTTAATTAGGCAGTTTTTAGATAGATTTTAAACCAAAAAAGAATGAAAACTTCCTTTAGTTAGCCTCACTCTGTATACCAGTACATAATGTGTTTAGGGGAGATGTGAAGGGTTTATAAAATTTATCATTCCAAGGATTATTGATTGCATAATTCTTAGGAATTAATTTGCTTTAATTTAAATAAGTGAAAATGGTTTAACTGAGAAAAAAATAAAACAATTGAGATGCTTATGCAAAAGAAATGGAACAAAACTGGACAGTCTAACATCTGAAAGTCAAATAGTGATGATTTTTATTTGTGGCAGATGTAATACTTAACTCCCCAATTGTGTGCCTCAGTTGCATCTATTGATCAGGGATGGTTTTGTAAGAAGAGGAAAGGTTTTCAAATATTGATGTTGAAAATCAGTGATATTTTTTGTCCATTTGACATTTAAAATAACCATATTTACAAGTATTTTGCCTTAATTATATTTACCACCATTTTCTCATTGTAGTAGGACTAGTGGACATTGTTTTGGCATTGGGAGATCTCAAGATCATCAGGGGTGTTTTGGTTTTTATTTTTTCTGTAAGATTCATCACTTGTGTACAGTGCTTTCATTAATTTAAATAAGACTAGACAATACTATGTCCTTGTCAACTTTCAGGAAAACATGGTGATGTCTGTAAATGGGACACCAGTTTCAGAAGTGTGTTTAATGAGGTTCTAACAGGAAGTACTTGCTTACTTTCGAAAGTTTTGACCCTGTCCTGTTTTCAGATCTCAAGTGAAATTTCAGCTAGTAATATATGTCTAAAATATGTTCTGTTTGTTAAACTGTTTGAAAACAATAGTCTTCATTCTGTCAGAGTTGTCCATATCTCAATATTTGTGACAATTGAATATGTAATGTGTTTCAGGTTTCAAAATTTTGATGATCTCACTTCCTGACTTTGGGAGACTATATGTACCTTATAAATACACATTTCTGATTCTCTTATTCAAACATAATTAATTTCACCACAATTCTGTATACGGTTTTGGTACCTCTAAGCATGCATCATTCACCGTTTCCACAATTTGATGCCTTTTATAACCTGGATCAATTGCAAGTGTTTCTGTATGACAGTATGACATCAGGATACTGATAGATACTATTGTTACTCCTTTGATGCATGTGTGTGCGTTAAGTCTCCAGATAGTACAGTAATATATACTTTGACAGTAGCATACTGTGTATCTTTTTTATCTGATTTTTAGCTCACCTGGCCCAAAGGGCCAAGTGAGCTTTTCTCATCACTTGGCGTCCGTTGTCCGTCGTCGTCGGCGTTAACTTTTACAAAAATCTTCTCCTCTGAAACTACTGGGCCAAATTTGACCAAACTTGGCCACAATCATCATTGGGGTATCTAGTTTTAAAAATGTGTCCGGTGACCCGGCCAACCAACCAAGATGGCCGCCATAGCTAAAAAAAGAACATAGGGGTAAAATGTAGATTTTGGCTTATATCTCTGAAACCAAAGCATTTAGAGCAAATCTGACATGGGGTAAAAATGTTTATCAGGTCAAGATCTATCTGGCGTTAAATTTCCGGGTGAATCAGACAACCCGTTGTTGGGTTGCTGCCCCTGAATTGGTAATTTTAAGAAAATTTTGCAGCTTTTGGTTATTATCTTGAATATTATTATAGATAGAGATAAACTGTAAACAGCAATAATGTACAGCAAAGTAAGATCTACAAATAAGTCAACATGACCAAAATTGTCAATTGACCCCTTAAGGAGTTATTGCCCTTTATAGTCAATTTTTTACAATTTTCATAAATTTTGTAAATTTTTGTTAATTTTTACAAAATATTTTCCACTGTAACTACTGGGCCAAGTTCATTATAGATAGAGATAATTGTAAGCAGCAAGAATGTTCAGTAAAGTAAGATCTACAAACACATCGCCATCACCAAAACACAATTTTGTCATGAATCCATCTGTGTCCTTTGTTTAATATGCACATAGACCAAGGTGAGCGACACAGGCTCTTTAGAGCCTCTAGTTTATGCCCCCGTCATAGAGGAGGGGGCATTAAGTTTTACCCTTGTACGTCTGTACGTCTGTCCGTACGTCCCAAAGTTGGTTTCCCTACTCTAACTTTAGTTTGCCTCAACCAAATGTTATGAAACTTATACACAATGCTTATTACCACAAAACACAGATCGAGTTTGAATTTTGATGGCATCACTATAACTGTTCTAGAGTTATGCCCCTTTACAAATAGATAAATTGCTGAATTTTTCGTTTCCGTTTTCTTACTTTAGTTTACCTCAACTAAATGTTATGAAACGTATACACAATGCTTATTACTACATAATACAGATCAAGTTCGAAATTGTGTGACGTCACTTTTACAATTCTTGAGTTATGCCCCTTTATAAACATAAAAACTGCTGAATTTTTCATTTCCGTTCTCTAACTTTAGTTTGCCTCAACCAAATGTTATGAAACTTATACACAATGCTTATTACCACATAAAACACATCAAGTATGAAATTGGGTGGCATCACTTGTACCTTTCTTGAGTTATGCCCCTTTATAAACATAAAAGTTGCTGAATTTTTCATTTCCGTTCTCTAACTTTAGTTTGTCTCAACCAAATGTTATGAAACTTATACACAATGCTTATTACCACAAAATACAGATCAAGTATGAATTTTGGTGGTGTCACTTTTACCATTCTAGAGTTATGCCTGTTTACATTCTGTTCTCTAACTTAAGTTAGCCTCAACCAAATGTTATGAGACTTATACACAATATTTATTACCACAAAACTCAGATCAAGTACAAATTTTGGTAGCGTCTCTTTTACTCTTCTTCAGTTATGTCCCTTTATAACTTTATATGATATGCAAGCGGGGGCATTATCTGTGTCCCATGGACACATTCCCCATTTATTTTTCATACAAAAAAGCTTTAGTGAGAAAGTCAGAATCAAGACAAAATCTAGGACATGGTGACCTACTTTTTCTTCATCTCTAACTGATTTATCAGTACCATGTTTATAGATACTATCTAGTTCTTTATTTGAGCATTAGGATGGAGGATTATCAAAACTTTCATAAGCTGATATCTATTTAAAATGGTTCACTTTGTTCATGTTTTACCTGTTTTTATTTGTATTCTATTTAACTTTGAACATTCAATCGTGTAAAAAGTCTCCTTCTCGTAAATCTCCTAGTTTTCTACAGCTTTAGGTTGGAATATGTTCTGTTGGTATTTCCTATTTTCTTCCTTTATTGACTATACACTAGACAGTTTTTGCTTAGTCTTATCCTTTATATTATGATTCTGATTTTTATGCCCTTTCTATTATAGTAGGGGTGTAGTATTATGTTCATGTCTTCATGTCTGTCCATCTGTTATTCTGTTTGGCTTGATCAAGGTACATTTCAAGGAACTTGAAACTTTA